CACTTCAGTACAGATTGTAAATGAGCCAGATTCTAGCATAGTTGCTAATTTACAACACAAAATCACATAATGTAACCAGCTGCCTTCAGTTTTTGCTGATCGGCTGCATTCAGACACACATAAGCAGCTTTTAAATATGTATTCTGATATATGTTCTTCACATAAAATGAGCCAAAGCCGGTGAGTCTCAGTTTGAAAAATGAATTCATTGTATCATTTTTCTTTTAGTAAAAAATTAAAACGGGTCCCACAGACCCGAACACCACAAAAGGGTTAAGCAAAAATATAAAAAGTTAGTCAAACACATCTACGTAAACTAGACTGAGGCGTGAACACTTGGCTAAGTTACCAGTGGTTACGGTTTAACAGAAAATGTTGCTGTTGCAGAAAAATTTAGCACAAAACTCAAGCTGAGAAGGAAAAAAGAAAAGGGAAAAAAAAGGCTGTGGTTTGAAATCGTCTGCAGGAAACGCTTTAATCCAGAGATCTCAAACTGTGGTCCTCCGGGGCCACTGCCCTGTTTTCAACACACCTGATTCAGAAAAACTCACCACTGGTCAGGAACTCAGCATCATCTGAAGAAACGCAAAGAACTTCATCATCTTTTAGACTCAAGAGCTTTTCGTTATCTCCCCAATTAGCTTTCCTTTTTTGTTTGTCTTGACCAAGACAACTAAAGTAGAATTAATCCCAACAAAGGACTTTGAATTGGTTTATTTATTAATTTACAGTCTGTGAATCAGTTGAATTGATTTAACTAAAGAATGACAAAGGAACCAAATATTTTGCTTATCCCTAAAAGTAATTATGTATAATTAACTGTCTGATTAAGTGGAAAAGGTCAGTCCATATTTATACCCTATCATCAAGGTTAAGACTTGTTTTAATCATGGAAAGTTTCATTTAAAAAAGTACAAATATTACTGTATTTTTCCTACATTAATCAACCCTTATGTTTGAAATACCTTTTTCCTTTTCCTTCTTAGGTTGGTTTATTTCATTCACTGAAATTATTTGACTTCCTCATTAAAGAAATGTTTCCATTTGACGTTATTATTTTCTTTTACAGTTTTTACTCACCAAACTGTTGGGTTTTATCGTCAGTCAAACATAGTTTCACCATAATATTTTATTTTATTTTATCCAATGAAACCATTGGACTATAATAAAAACCATAATATTTTTCTTGTAGCCCAGTTATTCAATTTTCCCTCTCTGGTCTGCTGCTCAGATCCATAGTAACGTCAATAGGTTTAGACTGCCCCCTAATGGTGAATATCGGTACTGCACCATCTCACTCCCGACCCTTACCCCAGTTCAGTCTTTGAACTAATCAAAGCTAAAAAAAAAAAATGTTAAAAAAGAAACAGGCAGTGAAACTAAACAGAAACAGAG